GCATTTTCACTTATGCTCCTTGAAACCCATGCTGCAGGGATACACGGATTCTTAACTGCTTATGCATTTAATGGTCTTCTTTTTCAATTTCAATCAAAATAAGATATGCACACTGTCCACATTCACTCATTTCCTAGTTCCTACTAGTCTCAAGAACCTTTATCAACCAGAAATGGGATCAAATGCTGTTCTTGAGTTTTTTAGTCAGCAACCAGCTTCCTGCTTGTGATTTCCTTTAGAGAACTGCTAACCTTCTGTACACATTCAAATTGCCATGCATTTGCTATATCTTTTTCTTCTCCCTTTTCCTAGTTTTTTCTTTCTATCCCATTCTCCTTCTCCTCTTTGGCCTTTTCTCTTTTGTTTATCAGAAATCCTTCCATGAGTCATCTGGACACCTATTTCTGTATTTTGCTTGATTCCTTGTTTCGTGATGGATACAGAACCCAGCCACAGCAAGGCAAGCAGTTTCAAAGACTGAATACATTATCTAAATGACAAGCCCCCCCCCAAACCTTGAAACTAAAACAGTAATGGAAAATATAAGGATATGAGAACAGATGTGCGCTTTTCTGTATGCACAATGTTAAGCCTGAAATTGATTAATCAGATGTTCAAGTTTTCTGGGCATGTAGTATATCATCAGAATGGAAACAGCACAAGTTACATTAATGTGGCTACAGTAACAAGGAATATCAATGCATTTTATGCCCCTAAAAGTTACTTCTCCAACAATCAGGCAACCAAGTACAAGCCAGCATTGCAATCTTGTGTAATCTTTGTGCTATCAATGATCCAAACAGACTATGGCTCAGTCAGGGCTGTCTTTTGGGTCTTTGTTTAAATACAGAGACAGAATGTATTTTTGGACTAATATGAAAAGGCAGTAGCTTGTAACAAAATGGCAGTATGAAGGAAAATACCAGAGACAGAACAACCCTTCTCTTTATCGGCACTTCCTTAACAAAACCTTAATACTTTGCAGACAGGCAGGAAGATTCATTTGCTATACAGAAAGACACAGTCAAAGAATGACTTCCTAAGAGCTGACATAAAGTTGTCTGCAATTGGACAGATTTCTGAAACTCAGACAATAGAAGTGTTTGAAACCCTCTGCTGCAGGTCACTACACTTCTCCAGTGAACAGAAGCTGTTATATCCCGCCTTTCATTGATTTACCATTACTGAATGGATTCCTCATTTTAACAAAACATATTATTATATTCTAGATAAGTCTTTGACAATTTTTTACACTAACCTATGGAATTCAATTGCCACCATTAATTACACTCTAGTATTTATCAGGAGATGCTTTTTTCAAGCAAGAACCAATTTATTTAATTGAATAGTTCAAAGAGCTCCAAAACCACATACAAAAGATGAGGTTATAGCTAATAGCTTTCAAATATACTTAAAAGCTTGAATCATTAGCAGTTGCTTAAACTGGGCATTTTTAAGCGCAAACCAGAATTTAATGCAAGCTAGTCTTGGTGGTGTGATTTTTCACATTTACATTTTTCACAAATACAAGAGGCAGTTAAAATAACATTCTATACTTAGGAATAAAGCCTGTACTTTATGCTTTCATTTTTTCAGCTTGGCATGCTGCAACATCACATATATCAGTGTCCCAATTTAATATCTAAGCATTAACATCTTAAACACATTTATCCTCAGCTGTCTTAAAAGGCAAATAAATCCAGTTCTTCACACCACACAAAAACCCAAAATCGAGGCACACAATTCCAGAACAACTTGTGTACTATAAAGGTATTTCAGATAAGAGTTTTTTGCTCCCTATGCACTGGAAGAAATAGGCATCCAAGGATGCTTCAGTGCAGTAGCAAAAATGAAATCACAGTCCTACAGACAACACACCTAGGTGTAAAGGAATCTCATTTCTAACTCTCACCCTTGCAAATATTTTGAGATTCCCATTAAAAGTGAAACAATTTCTGTAGATGACACTGCAGAATGCCTTGAGCATAAGCAATGAATATTGAAGATACAGGTCCAAAGCAACTACAGGAGGGACAATCCAATCTGTTTGTATCCAATCACTAGGCTATTGAATAACAACAGTGGTATTGCCACCATTTTTCATCTGATCATAGAAGTTCTGAACATGGCTAGGTATAGACTACATACGTATATCATAAGATTAAATACTACAAATGAAAAATGAATGAAGAATGCCAGTAAATTTAGTTTATGCAGGTAAAAATGGAATAGATTAAGACTGTAAAATCACTGCCTCTGACTCACATGGCAGTGGAAAACAATACCATGCTGACAACCTGTTAAATGGTACCATTAACCAGAGATTATCAGTGTTGAGGAAGGAGGCAAGAAGGGATTAAGTGCAATGCACTTTTTCAGAATGATGATGAATGTCAAAAAAATAAAGGAAAACCTCAGCTTCTTTGAAGAACTGAAGCAAAGCTTGCAGAAATCAATGGTAAGATTGTTATCAATATGTTTGGAAAAGATCCAAAATTATTATCTCTGACATTAACATAAAGAAATTGCAACTGTTTGCATTTATATTTCCTTTTAGCAACACTGAAAGAATGTACTAGGAGAGAACACAGTTAACCCTTTCTCTGGCATGCTTTATATTACATTTTAGATGATGTCTAAATATTATCACCCTTAACCATGAAGCAAGGATGCAAGAGCTCCCTAAAGAGTTAGGAGCTTTCAGAAAAAAATAACTACATAATACCCTATAAACTTTAAAAATAATAAAAACTGAAAGTCAAATCCTGAAAGTTCTGTTTGTCGTTTTAAAGAAAACTTCTGTTGACTTCAGGGGAAATCTTTTGAGTTAAATTAGGTTTAAAAATCTCCATATTAAATCTATTAATTGCAATTTAATAAAAATGTAATACACTGATGTTGGCAGCCAAGATTCAGATATCTTTACTTTGGGTCACAGTGCATGATCCCAGTCTTGAATTATGACTTAAAAACCTGAAACAATATTTGACCTTTATCTTGACATTGCACAAGAGGACACCTACTGTACAACCCATACATACAGAGTATTTAATAAGATGATATACCTACCAGGTGAATGACTAAGACTAGACATAATTACTTGTCTTAGTAATTACACTGGTCATGGACTTACTCTAAGACAGGTTTTTAATAATTTCTGCGTATCACTGCATGCCACTTGTAGCTTTAACATATTAAAAAACACTAAAAAGTTGTTTAATTCTGAATAAGCCCATCAAGTTTAGCAGTGCATTTTAGAAAACAATGCAAACTAAACCAAAAATATTTGTGCTATTTACAGTGCTAGATAATGCAACCATGTAAAAATGGAAATGGAAAAAATGGAAAAAGAAAGTTAATATGGTATTAAATACTCAGTGTAACATCTCTTTCCCAGTCTTCCCGTATATTTTATGTCTATTCCAGAATACATTAAGCTGCTGAACAATATAATGTCAAAAATCCACTGTTTTAGAGGTTATATTTATGTAGCTCAGATCATGGGTATGAAAACGTCCTAGGCAGTATAAATGTATATGAACACTGTGCTTATTCCAGCAAAGCAATTTTCTAGTTGTTTGTTGAATAACCTTCAAATAACAGGGTTAAGAACAAAATGACAGTAAAAATCTTTTCCTACATATACAACAACCAAGTCCCCCTTTCAGTGGAAAGATGAAGTCATTCCTCTGAATTCCTAACTTGTGTGATCCTCAGTATGTAAAATTAAACAACTTACTACTAGATTCTTGTAATCATTCCAGCAACCTTTACACCACAAAAATGGTTTGGGGTTTGTTTTCATTGGGGTTTTGTTTGTTTGTTTGAGTTTTGGTTTTCTTTTTAAGGTGTTTTTTTTTATTTTTAGTGGCTTTTTTTAACCTAATATAGAAGGTTTTGAAACAAACCCAAATACCTAAACGTATCCAGAGTTTGCAGATTATCTGCATTTGCAACTTCTAGTTAGTCCTATTTCTGTTGTAAGCCATATCAAAACACCACACTGAAATACACCCTGAAAATTCAGAAAATCTGAAAACAAATCAGGCTGGGAATGTTTTACTTTTAATGCTTCTTGGCCAAAACCACATTAAAAGAACAGGATTCAAAGCAAATTCAGTACAAAGTACAAACTCAGACATGACGATTATTCAGTTTTGCTATATTCCAACAGTCCAAATTATAGAGATACTATTTTGTTTCATGGTCTGAAGCCAGTACCACTGATCATTTTTAGTATTCTGGAACAAGCAGGTCAGTAACAAATTTTTATGACAGACACACTCAGTGAGATTATAAATCAGTTCTCCAAGAGAAGGCTCACTAATAAGATTGGATCTAAAATTTAGGTCACAGTTTTAAGACTCAGGTAATGGGCTAACAATAAAGAGCATGACTTTATAACAAATTCAGGTTCAATCTTTTTTTTACCATAAATACTAGCATCACTGTAAAGTTGCAAAGAGTAAGCTTCTTGTAAAATGAAATTATTTAATTGTAAAATGCATTTGATATCTCCTTGCAGGGAGGTTCTTTCTCAAAGAAAATTAAAATATTCTGTATTACACTATGAAGTTATAAAAATTAAGCAATTAATTTTTAGTGTCATTCCAGTTGTTTTAGATATTTGTAAAACTTATTTTCAATATAATACACTGGTTTCATTTCAAACACACCGCTTCCTTTATTTGCAAATGTATTTACAGTACCAAAACTATCATACAATCAAAGAAACTCTATGTTTTCTTGTTTAATGTTCAGAGGCGATGAGAGAGCATTAAAGTCTTTTAACTTGTTGACAATCACATGAGAAAACTCATAGCCCAATAAGGTCAGAAATAGGCTATTTGGGTTGTCTTACACAGAAATAACATATTATGAACTCACTCTTAACTTGTTCTGTGTACTACAGAAAGTTCTTCTAAAAGAATACACCAATAAATGTTCCACCTACATGGCTAAGAAACATTTTTAATATATTGTAGATGTCTGCCACTTACCATTTCCATTCTCTACTATAGCAAATGGCTCTCTGCAGATTGCCGTTTTGCTGAAGGTATTCATAGTCTTTTGAACTTCTGCCAGCAGCACTGCTTGCATTGCCTCAATAATCTGTCATAAATGCAAATTATATTGGATGACATCAGTATTTCAGTTGTTTATCTGAGCATTTGGCAATTTTAAATAACCACACTACAAAATTTTAAGACTCTTCCATTGAATGTCATTAGAAAGTCAACACTTAATATCTTTCAGATACCAATAATTATGTGTCCCTACATTCATAGAGAAATAAACATTAACTGGATAGCAATAAATGGTGGAAGTTGTCAATCATGACCACTTCCCACTAACTGAAAATTCATTTTCTTTAATCTCAAAACTAGAATCAGTTTTCTACTGCCTCCTTCATTTCCAGAGGTCATGACAATACATATTAGTAAGGCTCATGGTGATAACTAAAATATCTTTTTTTTCCTCCCATGTGTACAAAAATGCTTTATAGACTGAACAAGGACTTTGCATTTTTGACTTTTTAAGGAGTTTGGTGGCTAGTCTATATTTAAATAGTTTAAATAATGTTTTGTGATTACAAAGTGATAGTCTTCTATTCCTCTAACTTGGATGTGATAATACTGTATTTTTTGTCTAAGATAAAGGGAAGCACCACTCCTCAAGTTCCTCTTATCCAAAAGCAGTATCTGCTGAAATTATAAACAGCCTATAAACAGCACTTGCAATAGCTAATGTGCCACACGTGGGTGGTAAGGCTCTATGAAAGTGTGGAGACTGTATGAAAGAATGATTACTTTACTTCTGCAGAGGAGCCCCATGAGAACTGAGAAGCCCTAAGACGCTTATAAAGCATATAAAGACCTTATATAATGGATCCAAATTTCCACAATCCTGACTCAGTCTAAATTTCAGCGTGGTGCAGAATGGCAACATGCAGACCTTCCCTTCATTTGGCATTTCCTTCAGAAAGGAAATGCAGTCCCCACCCACCTCAGAAAGGTATTTGTTTGCAAGAACAACAAATTTCCTGAAAGACAGAGAGACAGCAGTTTCCAGGACAGTGTACTCCACCTCGACTTAAACATTAGTTTAAATTGGATATGAAAATTTTAACTTAAATATAAACCTTTTGTGTTTGTATGATATTTATAAACAACCTATTAAAGTTATTTAAAGTTTAATATGAAGGGAAGTTGATATGTAGGTTCCCACAAACTGCCTGGCAGAGAAACTGTTTCATCTCACTAATCAAGAACAGTGAATTCGTTGGCTGTCCTCAATCACATTTCTAGCTGCCCTTGTAAATTCAAATCATTAAGCAGAATAAAGGCTGTAGGTGTCCTTTGTGACAAAATCCTTTATTGAAGACAAATATACCATAGTCAGGTCCACAGTGTAAAAGTTCATAGCAAATAACCCAGTCCTATGTGTTTTAATGTAGCACAAACCTTCATCTTGTTATAACAGCATTTTATTTTACAGGGGAAACCAAAAGCAGTTTCCAATTCCACAAATCCATACATCCCTGAGCTTTGGGGATTACACATCCTGACTTTACAGCAGACATTTACAATACATCTACAATAATTAAGAAAGAGAAGGAAACACTGACATGTTTTCACTGCCCTGGGAAAAGTTTTGACAAAGAAATTTCTTACAGAGGTACAGGAAAGAACTGCACACATTATGTGTTTCGCATGGTGTTTTGATCTGCTAAGAACCTGCCACTAATCTGGATCAGATAATCATTACCTGAGCCAGGGCTGTGTATGCCAGCCAGGCAGCATTTGCAATGTCACTTCCTCTAACCTCTTAAGACAAAATAAAAAGCTGTTGCAAATGGCATGACATGATATTGTAGAGGCACCTGAAGGTTTCTGCATACTACTTGTCTACCACCTTGTTGAATCTGCACTTCCACAGTGCTCAGTGTGGTTTCACAAGTTTAGTTTGTACTCTCACTGTATCTTTCCCACAAATTCTCATACCTCACCTACTGTTATCACCAAGTTTAAAAATCTCCAGAAGTGGTTCCTGTTTCTAACACAACAAATCTAAGTAAGAAACATCTGCCTTCTTGGATAGTTTCCATCTGTCCTCGGTTCAGCAGTAGCAGTCATTTTTCTCCTTGGTAGCTGGTGCAGTGCTGTGTTTTGACTTTCGGGCTGGGAACAGAGCTGAAAACAATGTTTTGGTTTGGCCAAGGACTTTCTGAGCCTCATGCTCTGCCAGGGAGGAGGGAAGCTGGGAGGAAGCAGAGACAGGACACCTGACCCAAAGTGACCAAAGAAGTATTCCATACCACAGCACGTCATGCCCAGGAAGTAACTGGGAGTTACCCGGAAGGGAAAGTGGACTGCAGAGTTGGAGGAGGTATCAGTCGGTGCTTGGTCGGGCTGGGGGGGTGAGTTACCGGTCACCTGGTGATGAGGTCTTGTGTTCTCTTCCCTTGTTATTTCTTTATCACTATTATTATTGGTTGTAGCAGTAGTGATTTGTGTTATACCTTAGTTACTATCTCTTAGTATTATACAAAGTTATATCAACTTGTGGGAGTTGCATTCTTTCTGATTCTCCCCTCCATCCCTCCAGGAGTAGGGGGAGGGCAAGAAGTGGGGGGAGTGGGTGAACAAGCTGTCTGCCTGGGTTTAAACCATGACACCATCATATCTTTATCATCTTCTGGATTACATATACATTTACTACCTTTTGGTTACTAAAGTGTTCATTTTTCCCCACTATTAAAACTACTGTTATAAATACTAGCTGCTTTTTAGTTGGGATTATTAAATATGACAACTTATGCTTCTTCTATGGCTGAGAAAGTATAAATAGCATGTATCCATCTATAAAAACAGCTATAAGAAGTGTTAGGTAATTGTCTGATTCCTCAGCAGCAATGGTAGAAAACTATTCAAGAAGACAAGTGAACAAAAGTTGAGGCAAACTGTACCCTTACGTCTCTAGTAAGTTATAGTGGCTTTCCTTTCTGCACTTTATCAGTTACTAAGGATTACTCTTTGTAATGAGTGGGACTAAGGAGAAAAGTCAATAGCCATCACTCCTAGCTATTACTCAGGCCATAACCTATACAGGTCTGAGTCTTGCAGAAACTGCCTCCCACATGCCTCCACAAGGCAGTCACACTGGGGAGCAAAAAAAAATATAGATCAAAATATCAGACTTGTATTATCCAGTCTGCTTTCCTCTATTTCTGGATAGTAACTGTCAGGAGAGTTGTCTAGACACTTATACTGTAGTCAGTTGGCCTCAGGTAGACACAAATGCTGTAAAAACAAATGCGTTCAGATTGTTAAGAGAAATTACCGTAAACAGGCATCAGCGAAGAAGGTACAAGCTTACCAGCACTGCTCTCAGCAATGGCCTTTACATTCAAAGAATAAACCACTTCACATGAAGGCCACTGTAATATATGTGAGATTCATCCCACCTTATTTTAGATGGTAATGGAAATTAAGTAACTGAAAAACACACAGGTGCACTACAGGAATCAACAGAAAGAAATGAGAAAGTCCTGAGATCATCCACTCCTAAAATCTCAGCAGTCACTCCACAATCTCAATATTTTTCCACTGGTGAAAGAGGAAGGCTAAAGCATCTACATTCCTCTTGCAGATGATGATGTCAGAGATCTAAATATGGCACCAACAGTTTTCCTGAGGCAATACTGTGCAAAGTTATCTATGTTCATACTTTCAGCCAGAAAAGGTTCCATAAAGCTGCAATAATATAGTATTATTATTAATAATATATTAATATATATATAAAATTAAATACCTATCACAGATATAGGTAAGTAACTGGCTGTTTTAAATGCAGAGGAAGGACAATTCAGGGCAGAAATGTAACCACTGTTTTCTCATATTAAATATTCCAGGGCAAGGAATTTTTTGTACCTATCTGAAAGGATGAGCACACTTAAGTAACTTCTGGGCAGGATGGGAGCGTGGCAAGAAGCAGCTATATTTTATCTGAAAAAACAGGCACTCACATGAAGACAATCTTTCTCTTCAAATCATTTGGACAAAAAGCCCTAGAAAAATATTTTTTTAATATATGCATCGTTAGAATTTAAGAAAGAAAAGGACGTCCCTCAGCCCTTCGACTTCAGATCAAGAGACCCCAGATCAATCACCTGGCAGCAGGGTTTTTGTTTTGCAGGTTTCTTCTTTGCACAGAATCTGTTACAGGACTGTAAGGAGATGAGGAATCAATAAATGGCAAGTCCTTTGGGTCACGCTTAAGAGTCAGTATCATCCACTGAAGACCACGATATATGAAGTTTTTAAAAGCAGAGTAACTAGTGATGTTTCGGGTAAACGTACATGAGTGCTTAATCAGGCTGCTCAGCATTAGTAGATTGACCATAAATCTGTGTATGTATAATGAAAGCTTTTACAAAGCCACCAACAGTATCAACAAAAACTAAAATTGTATATAAATCATTGGTTGCTGAATACCCACACTTACTGCCAACATCACAAATTATTTTGGATGTTAAAACTCCTTGTGGCAGTTTGGCTGTAAATGACCCAAAACCTGCACTACAAAGTAGGTTAACAAAGCTTATTGCAACTACAAAGCTGTGTTTGAATAAGGCTGAAATTTGAGAAGCATTGGTAGAATAGGATTTGCAGTACTTGACAATTTCAGTGTCTTAAAGTCTTTTCAGTTGTCAAAAGCATAAAGCAGCTTATTTCACACTTTATCCTCCTGCACACTTCTGTGATAGAGACAATAGATCAGTCTATACATGATCATTGATAATGTATCAGTCATACATAATGCATCAATGATGATGTATAAACTGATCAGTCACTAAATTCATCAGAAAATCTAAAAACATAGATCTCACATAATGAGCTATGCTACAAATAAAAGCTTCATGGCTATATCCCTCTACCCTATAAAGAGTTTCAGTGACGGACCAGGTCAGTGAGAGATTATATGGATTTCACGTAACAATTGTAGCTATTGAAACTGAGGCCCTGTACTCAATTTTATTAAAAGGATTCAAAGAAGCTAAAAACCCCACACCTTATTGTAAGAGAAAAGGAGACAGTTTGAGGGAAGAATAATGCTGAATAATGCTGAAATAATACGGAAGATGTGCAGACAGTGGGAATATAATTAAAACTGATAAATTCAAGATAAAACGCTGAATTTGACTGAATGTGAGTATTTGCAGAAACCATTACTGTCTTTCTAATAGAGCAGGGGACTATTGCTGCAGTAACCCTGCACACCCCAGCTTTGAAAAATATTCTTTGCACTTGAAGTGCAGGACAGAGTTGTATTCAATTTTAAAAGTAACACCATAAAAAAAGAAAAACCTTGTAAGACATATTTCCCTTTTCTGGAGTAAAATCCCTTCTGGTCATAGTATGCTGTCTTGAGTTTTATATTCCTGAACATTAACTCACTCAAGCAACCACAAAACTTTATTTAAATGCGTATTTTCAAAATGAAAAATGGTCTCCAGATTTCCCTGTTCAGAGTAGTTCACAGTTACCTGTCAACTCTCAAGAAACAGTAATTTATCTCTCGAGACATCAGATTCTTCACTAACAATAGGCATGAGCTTCACCTGACCTGAGAACCCATAACTTCTCTAAGTCAGTCCTGAAGACTGGTCTAATAAGTAAGGACTTGGGATTATTTATCCCTTTAAGATGACTTTTTCTGTTTCTTCTGTAATAATGTATTGGTATATGACTCTGCCCTTATTTTGGCCTTTATTTTTCTGGAGCATAAAATGGCATTCGTAATGTAAGTTACATCTGGTTGATTGAGAACAGGTAACTTACAGATTCCAAATACTAAATTACAGCCAATGTCACTTAAGAATTATGTTGCAACAGCTAACACAGATTATTTCTTACCTTTACAGACTGGTCACTCCAACAACAAATGAGTTTCAGCAATGAAACACTCCCAAAGTCCGGGGAATGATATCTACTTCTACCTGAAACACAGAATTTATGAACTGACAATACACAGAGAAGCACAAAGCACACAAATATATATTTAACATTTGAATTTTCTTGCTTCAGCAACATACCTGAAAAGACCTGAAAAAGCATAACTTCTTAGAATATGCTTTCATCGGATGAGATAAGCACAAAGTTTCCAGATAACACAATGTTTAAACATTTCCTATCCGAAATCAGATTAGGTTGGGTTTTTTTGTTTGTTTGGTTTGTTTTTGTTGTTGTTGTTGTTGATTTGGGGTTTTTGGTTTGTTTGTTTGGTTTTGTTCCCCTCCCCCCCCCATAACAGAGGTCTGGTATAGACCCCACAGAGTGTTTTTATCTTTTTTTTTTTTTAAGATATAGAGAATGCTTTCAGATTTGAACTTCTTAACTATGGATTTTACCATGTAAATTCTAAAACTACTTGAATACATTTCTTTACCTTTAAACCAGTAATACAGTCTATGCAAAAAGACATTAAATAACATTTTGTATATTTACAGATTCAGGTTTTCTTTCCTGCTATTGGGCACCAACACAGTGTGTGGTCAATATGTCTCAATAAAACAGTCTTTCACTAATCAAGAATAGTGCAGCCAGTAAGGCACCTATCATCTAGCTTTGTCCTCTGTTATACTGCTTCAGTTTCACGTCCATGTATGCCCAAAAGCATTAGGCTCCTATTTTTATTTTGTTTTGTTCCCATCACTGCACACATGTAAATAGATACAGAAAGTCCAGAAACATTAGCAGAATCAAGATTGCCCATTCTGGTGTCCAGTGTGTCCTAATGTCAAAGAATGGGTCATTCCTAAAATGTCTGAGAGATCTGCAAGTCTTGGGTAAGATTTCAATTTGCAAATCCCAACAACTGTGTGAACGGCCTATGAGTTAGATTATTTCACAAGTTTTAGGTCACTAAGTAAAAGTGGTTTTATATCTGCAAAAGTTTTAGTCATCTCTACACTACTTTCATGCCTTCCATCTACTTATTTTCTATTAGTGACATGAATTTATGTTCCACCTCTTTCTTCCAATAGGCATTTCTGCTGTCATAATGAGTTCTACAGTTATGGTGCATAGAAGAGTTAGAGAAGGAAAGGTGCACTAAAACCTGACTTTAGAGGAGAATATTAAGGCTTATTTACATAGGAGAAGGTCAAGATTTGTCTTCAAATAATTTGTGTTATCAGTCTATAGGCAGTACTTAGTTTATAACAGGAACACTGATTGTTAGGTAATATGTACTGACAAATACCCATATTCTATTTGGCCTTTTATTTCAACATTCCTTGCTTAGTTGCATATTGTAAACAAATTACTACTTGCTTGCAAAGCCAAGATTGGTGAACGACTGCCTGTGGGATATTAACATTAAGAGATTACTTTATTCTGCCCTAAACCAAAAGTCCAAGGGCATTATTGAACAGTCCAGATAGCTCTTGTATTACTAAGGCAACAGTTTGCTTGAAGGGCTGTATATATTACTGGGCAGGCACATAATGATGATGAGGGAGATGGGGGAAGGGGAAGTCAACAGTGTTTGTCTTATTACATTTGTTTTTCAGATTGCTAGAAAATATCCTTAGAAACTCAGATGAATGTTTTACAATCACAGAAAAAATATCCTTGATTCCTCTATTACTTAACAGTCAACTTTTTTTACATGCTTTTGTGATATTCACAGAACTGGATAATTCAGTTTCTGTATTTGCAAACTGGACCTGCTTCAAAGCAAAAGAATTTAATATTTTCCTTTTTTGTTACTAAAGAATGATGTATTTTAGCAATAAAAGCCATGCAAAATATTAATACGTAAAAGCTAATATTGCCACTCCTCTATATACTTACTTCTTGTTAACTCTCCATAAAAACTGGGGAACGAATGTGTTATTGCTTCCACAGTTCGCCATTTGTCATACGCAGATTCTGATTTCTGTGGACTAAAAGAATATCAAACTATTAAACAAAACCTGAACATACTTGCAGAAATCTTACGTCTTAAGGTAGGGCTCTTCTTTTAAGGCAGGTACTCTGATACTAATTACTATCAATCACAATTCAGTTTCTCTTTAAAAGTAATTTGCATTATTTCACCCACAACTTGCTACTGAAGTATTGACATAGACACAACTACTGAAAAGTACCACCCATGTCAAGGGACTTTACATTCAGCTTAAAAATTATTATATTTAAATTTTGCTGTATTAAAGAAATAATGTCATATTTACAAAGGACTTCTGGTTTTTTCTATTACATAAGGAAAAAAGTTCAAGGAAAACTAGCAGCTTTATTTTATAGGTTTCCATTTTTTCACAGTATTAAGTAATTTAGAATATTATTGCAATGTTTGGGATTTCAACAGATGGCTACAATTTAGGAGACTAGTGTGTATATCTACTGTTCTTCGGTACTTTATCACTAATTCAGCAACCTAGCCCTTGAAGACAAAGGATATAAATGGAGGGGAAAGGAAGGGAAAAGCCTCTCCAAACCCCTGCACTATTTTAAACTGTTTCTTTTAAATACATTGCTATAGTGACCCTGCACAAACTATATTTAGGTGTCATTTAAAAATGATATTTCACCTTTCCACTTCACTAGAGTCAACAGCAAGTCATAATATTTCAAAAGCCTTGCAATACTAAACTCCGAAAGCTTTCAGCTTGAGAGCTCTAAGTTGCAGATACAAATCTCAAAAGGCAGGAGAAAGATCTTTTCTTACTAGCTTCTTGTTTCTGTCCCACTTTTATAACCTGACATATTGTCCTGGGTTCAGCAGTAGCAGTATTTTACTGCAGGTTCCTTTATTTTCATAGGCTGAGTCAAGATGCAAGAAAACAGATATAGAAACATCAGAACACTTACAAGCTGTTAAAGTTTTCCTAATTCTTTCTGCAAATGTTGTGGTGAATTAGAATTCAGTACTTAGTTGTCTTCCTTGAGTATGTTCTAGCTGCAGCTAAACCAGCTGCCCAAAGAGGTTTGGCTACACACCATACTTTTAGAAGGCAAACTGGACAAAATAGCATTTCCTTGTTTTTTTTCAAGCTTTTAATTTGGCAAAAGTACGTTAACTCTTTCTCACAAAGAAAACTCATTCCAACCCTCAATAGAGCAAATTATGAATAAAGATAAATCAGATAAAAATATTTAATGAATGAACAAACACAGATTACAATAGTTCATTGAGACCCCAATTATTTGCAAGAGGAATAGGTGAAATGAAAGCTGAATCCTAAGATCACGGCAAATAGCCAAAGTCCTCTTCATGCTATTCTTATGACTGGGGAGGGAAGAGGGGAAGGGAACTTCACAGGAAACAAACCATGTCAAAATCTTAAATAAAGCACTCCTGAGCTTTTGAATAAAATTAATAACCTTTTTTTGTAACCAAAACTTATGGCAAATTCTTTTCCTCTCATTTGTAAAAGCATTCACCTTTTTCTACAAGAGATGCTAAAGCTTTTATGGCTTTACATTTCCTGGATAAAACTTGAAATTACATTGTATAGATTTCACAGAGAAAAAAAAAAAAAGGCATTTATTCTTGTAACAATGTCAATAGTTATAATTTTATGTGTGATATGTTCCAAATCCAGGATGTTTAAGTCTGGGAAAAATGTTTGATTCTGGTATGCTTACTAACAATTACACCATGTCTTTCCAACAGAGTACTGTATGACACAAACCAAGCATAAAGTCCTCTCTGGGATGGAAAGGAATGCATGTTCAAGCTGGAATACTAAACAACTTTCCATATAAGAGCTTATGTTCAGTACGGGCCAGTAGGCAATGTAATTAGCAATAAATGTAACTTGGAATTATGCATTTGTCTTGCGGTATGGTGCGTATCTTGAGATATGCTGAATGCCCAGAGCTTTGTGGAAGATGCACAGATATCTACAGCATCAGGATCAATATTTTTTTGTCCCCCTTCTTGCCTCAGGGCCATCGTGTCACCAACATTGAAGTTAATTGTCCCTAAAATGCTAAATACAGACCAACCTAGGTCTGCAGAACAACAAAAGTCTGTGGACGTATCCATTGCCTGATTAGCATGCTCTATTTGGCTTGCTGAAATCATTTTGAGCATCCTATTTTTCCTTTAATGCTGAAAAAGCATTTAGGCAATAAATTTGTTTTGAGTAACACAACTGTTATTTGGGATGGTTATCAGAACATAAGGGCTGATGAGGCACTCATTCCCAGTAGCTGCCATTATTACTGGGGGCATTTTACTTTACATTGTGTAACTAGGACAGACTGTTCTTGTGTCTCATGTTTTATTTATCTGTGAAGCCAAGGGTTTCATAGTAAAGGAATTATATTGCTTACAGAGAATTGAAGTTAAAACAGCAAAGGTACTTAAACACACATCTTGCAATGAGCTAGAAGACACCTCAGTATTCTATTTAGTTTAAACTGTGAAGAAAAGAATGATCTCAGGAAATACAGAGTGTGATAATTCAAATTCTTGTTCTCCTGAGAAAAATCCTTGCATCAGTTATCACCCTCTAAGTAGAAAACTGTAAAGAAAATTAAGTTTATCCCTATCTGCTTTTGTTCAAAGAACATCCTATAAAAAACTCTAGAGAAAGACTGCAAACTCCACTGCAAAAGGCTGTATTTACGAAAACCTTGTTTCATATTTTTCAATTTTAAACCACTATATAAAAGAAAAGACTTGCAATAAAAAGCTTCTTACCTTTCAATGTCATCTGTAACTGCTGAAGGTGTGTTAATAATCCTGTTGACCAAAGCTATTCTGCTAAATAAGAAAAATACTGTTTCCAATCCCTTTGTTCCATAAACATTATTCTCAGGTCCATTGTTCTTTCCAGTTTCTCCTTCAGTTGCAGCAAGGTACTTGTTTGATAAATCAAGCACTCTTTTTGAAAACAAGTTGACTATTGCACGTTCTTCTAGCATGCCACCATCAGTACATTTCCATCCTGGCAACATTAGTGATAGGTGGTTTTCATTTGACACAAGTCCAAAAGAAACAGGATGCTGAAGCCTCAAGACATCTAAATGTCTAACACAGAGATTGTCTATTTCTTTATCTACACCCCATGGTAAAAGACACGACAAAAGCAGTTTAGCTGTATCAGTGACAACATTCACATCAATGTTACCTGATGGCTGCATTCTGATTTTTCTAGAACTCTTCATTTTCTTCTGTCTTTTCATGCCACTTTCTTCCAAAGGCCTAGCTGTATTGTTATCCTTACAGACCTGGACTGAACAAACAGTATCTACTTGACCATCCACTGGAGATATGGAGCCAGCAGTTTTATTTCTTTTTAATGTCAATGCCCTTTTCTCAGTAGCACTTTTGGTTCTTTCTAGAGTGTCATAATTGTGGAATGAATTTGATGTCTTTAATCCATTGAGTTGAGATGACAGCAGAAGTTCCTTGAGTCTTTCCAGATCAAATAAAAGAACATGGAAGTTTGCACTGTTCCATTTTGTCTTAACTGGTAAAATAGTAAAGGGCTGCTGGATGCAGCTGGTATCAGTTAACTGAAAGAAAAAATACTAAGTGTTCAAACACAAATCCATAGTACTTTGTAGTTTTCAAGATATCAGCATATGGAATAGACCAAATCTATTAACTTTATTAAGTTCAACTTAATTACATTTATTTACTCCTAAGAAGGATTTTCTGCTAAACAGCTTAAGATACACAAAGACATATGCATGTAAATACTACAATACAGGATCCCTAGCATCTTTAACTATACAATTATACAGCCATGCTCTAGGCTGATATTTCTTCTGTTAAGTCTCGCTTCAAGCTAAAAGACTTTTAGGAAAGTTTTGAAGAATACACATCTATTTATTTATTTATTTTTAAGAAATAAATCTGGGGAAATAAACCCTACAGTGCTACAGAATTCTTGCAAATTCTGGGAATCTATATTTTGTAGCAACTTGATATATGCCTGAGAAAGACTATGCCTTTTGCCATCTCAAAACATGCAAAATTACCTTGAAGTTACTTAATTCTGAGTTAAGCTGCACATACTTCATCAGCAATAAAGAACATAGGTAATTAGATATCCAGTTAAAAATCATGCAGTTAGATAAAAATAACAGAGAAAAAGGGTATAGAGCTACTACAGTGAACATCTGACTTCACCTTGTGCCACTCTATTTCCAATCTGGATCTTTCTGAAATTACCCATTCTTCTTCACAAATTGTGCTGATATCAATACATATGCCTGATTATTGCTGTTAATAAATACCCAAATAAAATAGTTTTGGAATCCTCCTAAAATTTGGTAGTAAAGCATTTCAAATTCTTTCTGTCCTTTTCCCCATACAACTTTAGCTGGCTGTATATTCCCAACATGACACGCTTTTCATGAGAGCTTCCACAGGTTTCAGAAAGCAGAAAAAATTTATTAGTGAGGGCACAGTAGAATATTAACCTCTTTGGCTGCTTACTTACTCCTTCTTTATTAAAAAAGGACTGAATGTACATACCGCGCATTACAAAGACAAATTTCTAACTTTTGTCTGAGAAAGACTCCAGATGAATTTGTAGAAGAGCAACTACTTTCTTTCACAGGAATCATCGTGCTGCACTATGAAGCAGTATTCCATGAAGGTAGTGGGAGGATCATCCAATGGTAAAGTTATGAGATTATGACACCATCTTATATTAGAATCCTGCTGTATCTATTAAAGAGGTATCTTTTACCTCCAGGCAGATGTAAGGGAGTATAAATTCCTTGTTGATGCTTTCTCCCTTTTCTGTAAATGCTCGTGACTTGGATGTTTTTACTGCCATGCTCAAGCCTATGCTTTCAGCATTGTGCTCAATCTAGCTACTGCACCTTTAAAAGCACATATGTATGACAGGAAAGATATCACCAAGAAGAAACTTTTTTCACCCAGTGATACTTTCACAAATCATCATGCCAGCTTCCATAACAAATGACAGACTTTTCTAGATCACCATATTAATTTTAATTTTCCTGTGATAATCAGAAATATGTCACTAATGCAAAGTACTGTTTTGTGTTGAAAATAGCTCAATCTTAAAAGAAACCATCAAGTGTTAGGAAACAGGCAACAGCTGGCTTTATCTTGATTACAATGGTGAATAACTCATCTTTCTCAAGACCACTCTTTACCTATCTCTTTTCATATTACTATTTTATAGGATTAGCTATTTTTAAACTGTTAATATTGAAGTTATAAATAACACAAGGAAAAAATAATTCTATAGCCTGTAAATTATTTCACTATTTAGTTTTTGGTATTAAAACAATTTGGCTTTCTGACACTTGGAGAATGATGCTCCCACCAGATGAGGATGCACACTAAATACATAATCTTATTTGAAGGTCTCCATAGGGAGTCATAAGTAAGAGATTATAACTGCTTGTTCAGCTTTTCGTTTTATGCCTTTCCTTTTCCAAAAAAATACATTGTAGGTAACAATGCACTAGGATTATTTTAATCTTTAATGATGCTCTTTCCCAATACATACAGAGATCCCCATGGAATGCAAACACTGGAATTCACAAGCTAGCTTTGGCATTAATAGAAGCTATTGCTATTTGGCCTATCATTTTAATTTTCTCTGTTGTATCCATTTGTATTTGGCTGATTAACATTTAGAAACCTTTAAGAAAATCACCATTTAAAGAATATACAGTGACAATGTCTATCTGTTGAGGCATCTGGTGATGCTAATGTGTACAAAGTCACAATAAATGTTTAGTGGTAATATGAAAACTTATTGACATTGAACCTAAAAGCACCTACCAAGTTATCTTAGCTGTCTGCCATAGGCATTTCACTGCATTGAAAGAAGGTGGACATCTAAAGCTTCAGACACTGAACACTATTTAGGAAATATGGACAAGCTATTGCCTGTAACATAAGGTGGCAGAAAATGGAAGGAAACCCATAAAACCAACTATGAACTACAGAGCTAGGAATAACATTGGATGACAGGTATTAAAAAGCAGATTAACAGATATTTACATTTACTACTGTGCCTTTTCTAAAGATTTTGAAGTATTTCACAAAAATAAATCTTACTATATTCATATAAATATTGCCCTTTGGTTTTTCAAACATACACATTAAGAATTTAATAACTGTGTAAAAAAATAAAATAGGTTAATAGCAGTGACAAAGCATGACTTGTCATTGAACCCCACAGTCCAACTTGGAAGCCGCCCTGTTACCAGCACACAAGATTCAGTAATGAAAAGATCTTACTTCCTTCTTTTCCAACAATTTTTGCTCAGCTCAGACCAAGTTACCACAGGACTGTCTTTCAAACTCAAACTGCTTAAGTGGTTATGCCCAAATATAAACCCATTCAAGCCTTACTGTTCTCCCAGTGAATTTCAGAAGACCATGTCAAAAAAGAAATAATCTAGTATTCCTTTAATTCTACAAGTTAAATGACCACCAGGCTACGACATACTGAACACAACCTACAGATTTTTATAATCATTAAGAAAAAAACAAACAGTAGAGGCATCTACTATCATTGCTATTTATCATTGTTAATTAACATTAGCAATTATCATTGCTAATTTAACATTGCAATTTATCACTGCTAGTTTTAACTTTTATTTCTGACAAAGGCAACCCTCTGATTCACTATTCACAAGTCTCCCGACTACCAACGTTCCATCTACTTTTATTGTTTACCTGAAAAATTAGGAAGATTTTTAAAGTTATTTATTTAAAAATAAACTTCTTGAAGCTATTACAGAGAATGCAAACTGTACGACTTCCCACAGCTTCAGTAATTTTGTCCAGATTTTGAAAGCTGATCTTTGTATTCTTTGTTGGTTTTAAGTGTATGAATCTAAAATAAACATAAATGTTAAGGTCCCCCCTGCTGTAGTTCAGTTCTGAAAAAGCAGAATGTGCTCTCTTTGTGCATCACTAGCAGGAAGTCTAACAAGGAGTTACCCCAAAGGAGGTTTGTATGTTCCTCAAGACTAGTAACTGGTAATAAGTCATGATTCCATAAAGTAAAAATTGCCGTTTTTACATGACAACTTTTAGGGATAAAACCAGGTATTTACTGTGAGGGCATAGATTACCACATATTTTTGTTGGAAACTGAAGAACAAGAAGCACTTTTTAATTTTTTTGTGTATGCATGCATTATCTCAAAATTAATCTAACAGAGCCATCAGACATTTCAGTTAATATACTGGCTAGTCCCCAACAAGAACTGAGAAGTATCTCACAAAGCTTCTATGATTAACTATTAGATCTTCATATCAACATTTCTACACCCCAAACTAAAATAACCTTTTAAAAAAAATATTATTTTGTTTAGAATTACCAACTTGCTGTTTGCAGCTGAACACTTCAGTAAGGAGGCCAGACTGCCTCTGCTCAAAATAAAGCCATTTGTGTGCCAATAACATTCCTGCTTAACAACTGAAACTTGGAAAATTTTTACTGCTTGGAGAGATCTTAATCACTTGATAAGGCTCCCTATGAAGCCTTCACCTGTAAGCTTTAAGGCAGTAAAAAGTCTGATTACAAACTCAAATTACATCCTGGGATTCATGAACCTCTTGTGTATCATCTCTGACTCATAGGAGAACAAGCTTTCTACATGGAGGAAAGAGCAGGATTCAGGGCAGCTTAGAAATAGCTAGCTATATTTCCATACGTGGAAATTATCACCTATGTAATAGCTCCCTATTTTGCCACTGAAGATGTCTGAGTCAGGACAAGAGATAGAACAAACTATTTCAGTTTGAAGGCACCTACAACGATCATCTAGTTGAACAAAAGTTAATGCATGCTGTCCAAATGCCTCACTAACAGACTTGGGGCATCAACCACCCCTCTAGGAAGCCTGTTTCAATGTTTGGTCACACTCTCAGTCTAGAAATGTTTCCTAACGTCCAGTCTAAATCCTGCCCAGTGCAGCTTTGAACCCTTCCCATGTGTCCTGTCACTGGATATCAGCACCTCCACTTTGCCTCCTCAGAAAGATGTAAAGAGCAGTGATGTTGCCCCTCAGCCCCCAAACTGACAAGTCAAGTCCTCAGTAGCTCCCCTCAGGACATTCTTTCCAGCTCTTTCACCAGTTTGTTGCCCTCCTCTTGACACATCCAAGGACCTTCACACCCTTCTTAAAGCATGGGGCAACAAACTTAAAGCTAGTGCAACAAACACTGAAGACTCACTTTGATTTATTCTGGCATGGAAGAACTCTGCTGCAGAACTTACAAGCCTGTTCTTCTACCTCTTCTCACTTCACACATCTTTACCAAACCAGCCTAGCACCTGAGGAAAAATTTTCCCATGTCTATGGGAGGAGGGAGGCAGGGGGCTATTCTTACTGTGGCCCCCAAATACATCAAGCCATGCCATTATCTTTAACAGTTTAAGACAGACATAGCACATAAAAATTTCATGGGAAGTACAAGTCAAGTGTTATTTTACCTAGATGCCTTCTCATCTCTGAAGACCTGTTTCCACTGGGATCCAAGCTGTTTTAGGAATGCCATTCCACTTA